TATTTTTGTTATGTTTTATAATAAGATAAATATATGAATGTATTTTTTTCTAATTACAAAGGTTATATATGCTCCTTTTCCAATATTTGAAATACTATAGGAATGTAAGGAGTAGGGATTAAGTCCTTCCATAATCTCAACCCACAGAGATGATCTCTGTTTATACTTGTTCATATCCCTCCATGTTGGCAGTGTGTATATTTATCTTTGTGTGTACACACATAGTACATGTATTGTGTTTGCCATTATACTTTACATATTGTTCTATTATCTGATATTCACACTTATCAATATTTCATGAATTTTTATTTCACATAAATGTTGCTGTTAGATGCTGTTGAGTGAGTTCCAACTCATAATGACCCCATGTACAATAGAACAGAACACCACCCGGTCCTGTGCCATCCTCACAATTGTTGTTATGCTTGAGCCCATTGTTGCAGCCACTGTGTCAATCCTTCTCGTTGAAGTTCTTCCTCTTTTTCGTTGATCCTGTACTTTACCAAGCATGATACCCTTCTTCAGGGACTGGTCCCTCCTAGTAACATGTCCAAACTACATGAGATGAAGTCTCACCATCCTCACTTCTAAGGAGCATACTGGCTGTACTTCCAAGACATATTTGTTCATTCTTCTGGCAGTCATGGTATATTCAGTATTCTTTGCCAACATCATAATTCAAATGCATCAGTTCTTCTTTGGTCTTCCTTATTCATTGTCCAGCTTTTGCCTGTGTGATGGCTAAGGTTATGTGTCAGCTTGGCTGGGCCATGATTGTCAGTGGTTTGGCAGTTATATAATGATGTAATTTGACAGACATTGGACTGATTGTTCTTCCATAATGTAATCACGTCTGTGATGAGATCTTAAGGGGAGTTTCCTTGGGGGTGTGGCCTGCTTTCAATATATTTGTATGTCTGGCAGAGCTCACTGGCTGTGGATCCTGCATCTGTTTCATCATCATCTGACCACCGGTTCTTGGGACCTGAGCCAGCAGCCTGCCATATTACCTGCCAATCTTGAATTTGTCAACCCCTGGAGCTACGTGAGTCAAGAGAAGCCTCCAGCCTGACACAATTCACTGGTTTTGCTTCTCTGGAGAGCCCAGCCTTAGACAGCATGCACATGAGGCAATTGAAAATACCATGGTTAGGGTCTGGTTCACCTTAGTCCTCTAAGTGACATTTTTGCTTTTTAACACTTTAAAAAGGTATTTTGCAACAGATTTGATGCAAATAGAGATTTGCTTCATATAAATAGAGATACACAATTTTTAAATGTTATGTAGTATTAAATTTTTTAACACAATGGTTTGATCCCATGGATTTACTTTTGCAACTTGTTTTTCATGTAAAATGTAACATATAAAATCTTTCTAGAGCAATACATGGATATTTTCTTTATTCTTTTTGGGTGCTGTATAGTAATCCTATTGTATTAATGTACCATGATTGACTGAACCATTCATTCTCTTTCTGATGGATATTAAGACCATTTGTAATGTTTTAAAGAACATCTGACCATGTATTACTGTGCACTTATGCAAGTACAGTACCTTTCTAGGTTATTGAATATGAACAATTTACAGTTTGATAAATATTACTAGAGTGTCTTTTGGACAGTGTATATGAATACTACATTTTTATTAATCCTGGGTATTGTCACTTAAAAATTTTAGCTTTGTATAAAAAATTTTAAATGGAAACCTAATTTGCTATGTGAACTTTCACCTAAAACACAATAAAATATTTTTTAAAATTTTAGCAGACATTAGAGGTGTAAACTGAAAGTAATAGTTTTAATTTTGCATTTCATTTATTATTTTTAGTTGGAGCATTATATTTATCTTTTTTTTTTTTCTTACCTGAATTGCCTGCCCTTACCTGCAAACATAACTTTTGGTTTACTTGTGATTTTTTATCTTGATTGCAGAACTCTTTATTTATTGTGGATAGTAAATTCTCATATGCGTTGTAAATAGTTTTTTTCAAAATGTTGGCGTTTGAGGTTTTTTTTAAATCCTGAGTGACTGAATGAAGGAATAAATGATAAGAAAGATTTTAAAAACTAATAAAGTACAATGCAATAAATTTATAATAAACATATGTACACAGACTGCTGTGGGATCATAGAAGAATGACATCTAAAACAAAGGGAGGGTAAGAGAAGGCTGGCTACCTGCACCAGGTAAGACTTGAGGTGTGTTTTAAAGTATGAGCCCCATTGCCATCGAGTGGATTCCAACTCATAGGGACCCTATAGGATGTAGTAGAACTGCCCTATAGGGTTTACAAAGCTGTAATCTTTACCGAAGCAGACTGCTACATCTTTCTCTCGCAGGGTGGCTGGTGGATTCAAACTGCCACCTTTCACTTAACAGCACAACGCTTAACCACTGCCCCACCAGGGCTCCTTAAAGTATGAATAGATATCATTAAATGAAAGATGAAGAAAGTTGTTCAGGGAAGAGAATGCAGCATGTCCAAATGAGGGCAGTGAGTTTATGTTAATGGTGATGGAATAACTTGAAAAAAGCAAAAATGATTGCACAACTTGGAGAATGTAATCGATGTCACTGAATTGTACATGTAGAAATTGTGAAATGGTATCTCTTTTGCTGCATATATTTTCACCAAAAATAAATAAATAAATAAAATAAGATAAAGCAAATTAAAAAAAAAAAAAGAGCAAGATATATTCTAAGAGTGTACATAGTTCAGTGTGCCTAGAGAAAAAGGTATCGAGTGGGTAGTTGTGAGATGGGGCTGCAGAGGCAGAGCAGGGCCAACTTAGGAATGGTGTGGTACGTTAGGATAAGACATATGAACTTTACCCTGAAACTTGGGAAGACATTGATATATCTAGATTTGGATTTTCGGAAGTTTATTCTGACACAGGTATGGGAAATGTTACAGAAGAAGTGCGACGCAAACAGGAAAACCAGATTGTGCTCTTGTTGTGGCAGGCATTAATTTTGCATTGGCAAAATCATCAGGGATGCAAAATGAAATCTTTCCGGTTTCTCTAAAATTGAAATTGAGTCAATTCTAGAAAAATATATACCTGGGGAGTCGGAAGGTAGAGTAAAGGGACTTCTTATTTTCCTTTTGGCCTTTTTTAAAATTATTTGTTTTTAGTTTTTTTGTTTGTTTGTTTTTTTAAATCAAGGATAAACTTTAATAATAAAAACAAGGATTTTTTAAAAAACTGCACCAAAAACATAGGAAAGTTCTAACTTAGAACGTTGTATGGTAAATATTGTGCTTTGGTGGATCACCAAATCAGTATGAACCCAAATTGTGATATGGTTACTAAAATCTGGTATAATAATAGTTGGTTCCTTCAGTGTTTCTGCTGTGTAATCATCAGATTGTATCTGGAACTGTGTGTTCACTTCCGCTGTCCAACTTGAGAGGATCACCTGGACCATGTTCAGAAGGAAGGAACCTTGGTGGCGAAATGCATTGAAACCATGTTAGATAGGAAACTATTAAAGAAAACGGGCATGTTATGCTCAGAGTAGATCAGACAAGATATTTTATATTAGTTATTAAAGATCTATGATGCCGAAGAGAAATAAAACGTATTTCATTAAATTTGTAACAGAAGTAGGAACAAGGAATTGAAGCTACAAGGCGGGCAGATTTTGACTTAAAATAAAAATGAGTGGGTGCTACTTAACCCTTTCATGCCTAAAAAAACTGATGATTTTAATGCTGTTGCCAACTTCTTGTAAACTGGCAAAAAATGTAGCATTCCTTTATTAAACTAATAATTATGACCAGGTGTACTATAATAGAGTACATAAAGTTCAGCCATGTTTATTTGTATGTAAATTTATTTTAATAAGTGGGCATGTATTTTCTTTCCCATTAAATAAAACTAACACGACTATTTTTTTAAGTTTGTTATGTGGGATCTTCTTATGTTTCCAAGCTAGCACAGTAAATAGTTGTTGTTAGCTGACATCAAGTCGATTCTGACTCATGGCGGGCCTATGTGTGCAGAGTAGAACTGTGCTCCATAGAGTTTTCAATGCTGTGATCTTTCAAGAGCAGATCACCAGGCCTGTCTTTCCAGGTGCCTCTGGGTGGATTTGAACTGTCAATTTTTGGTTAATAGTCCAGTGCTTAACCATTTGTGTCATGTATTAACAACACTAAATAATCAGTTTTCTCAGCATTATGGATGTCTCCCTGACATGACCATAAACACCCCCTCCTCCCACACACACTGTATACATAGGTCTAACTTGCCACTTTTATCCCCATGGTTTTAACATTTATTGAAGCTTTCTTATCTATGGCTATAGGTGTCACATCCCCTAACCTATAATGATGGACTGGAGTCAGTTGAGAGAGACCTGTCCTACAATCTAGATCAGGGCAGATGTCAAATACCTCCAAAGATAAAATTTTAGTTTCATCCTGTAAGTGACTGGGCAGATTGTAATTGCGCTATAACCCCACAGTGGCCTCAAATACACTGGGCTATGGGATATGCTCTGTTATTCCATCATCCTGGGCTGGTGATATGGTGGTGTTTTTGTTGTATACCATCGAGTTGATTCTGACTCATGGTGACCCTATATGATAGTAGAACTTCACATAGGGTTACCAAGACTGTGATCTTTACGGGAGCTGATCATCATGTGTTTTCTCCCATGAAGCAGCTGGTGGGTTCGAACCGCCAACCTTTTTGGTTAGCACCCAAGTACTTAACCATTACACCACCAGGGATCCTGGTAATATGGTAGTGAGACTTAAGAAAGGCAACACGATTTTGTGTTTTCCTGGTGAATTGATATGATGTATTTCAAAGATGTGTAATCTTTAAACTCTAAGAAAATAAAGCTTACTAGAGAGAATTTGGACAATCATTTTGCAAATACACCCAATTTCTTTGGTTGGAAAGTAGACTTAACATACCAAAAGTTATTATTGCTCATCAGTAGTTGTTGCATGTTATCTGTTTATTAAGTCTTTCTTTCCCCTGCCCAGGAGTTATTTAACATCAACTCTTAGTCATTTGGAATCTACTACACTTCTGCTGATGGTCTGTGCTCGAGATGGTGATGGGCTCACATCTGCCATTAATGCTGATGTCACTATACACATTCTTCCAACAACTCTGGTGCCTGCCGTTTTTGAAAGGTCCAAGTATACTTTCTCAGTTTATGAAGATGTGCCTGAAGGCAGTCCTGTTGGAACAGTGAAAGCAAGAGAGCCCTTGAATAAGTGCTTTTTACACTGCATTAAAGTCCACTATTGGAGCATTTCCTGTATTTAGCCTGTGCAAACTTGTATGCATTTTTCCTTCTCTCCGTCTTACCTAATGCAAGAAAACCAAAGGGAGATAGTGAAGCTCTTTGTTCTTTCATCAGTGTTTCTATGATTACAAAAATAATGATTACAAAAGTAATAGGTTGTTTTAAAAGAAAGTTTAAAAAAATAAAGAATACTTATAGTGTAGAAAGTTTAAGTCTTCTATAACCCACTTCCCCAAACATACACAAGTTTAATTTTTTTTGTTGGAAAAATGTATCCTTTTATATTTTTTTTGTTCTGCAACTGCCTTCTTTTTGCCACTTATATATACCAGACATCATTCTGTATCATTGAAAAAAATAGCTGCAGAGTATTTCAACTAGGATATAAATCATGTTTTATTTAAACATTTCCCTTTTGCTATTAATTTGAGTGATTCACAATTTTTGCTAGTCCAAATAGTGCTGCAGTGAGTATCCTTGTCTTTTATACTTGTGAAGGTACCTCGGCAGGATAAATTTCTAGACATGAGTTACTTGTCCAAAGATCTTGTCCTCCTCAAAGTCCCCTCCCTTTCTTCCCTCTGCCTTCTCTCAACCTTTGCAGAGGGTTTTTGCCATTCATAGGTAGATATCTAGAGAAACATAAACACAGTGTGGCTTCCTCAAATATATAAAAAAGGTATCCAATTTATGCTTTGAATATCTTTCCCTTTTACCTAATGCAAGAAGAAGGAAGGAATGAAGACAGTTAAACTTGTGGCTTGCTCCTTGTTGGTTGGACATAACCTCTCTCCATTTATACATCTTAAACCACGTGTCCATTTTTCAACAGTCTTTGGAGAGCTGAGGAAGAAGCAATAAATTAAATTGTATTCTCTGGAGCTGTTGTTAGGTTCTGTTGAGTTGATTTTGACTCATAGTGACTTCATGTGAAGAGTAGAACTGCCCCATAGGGTTTCCTAGGCTGTAGTCTTTAAGGGAGCAGATTGCCATGTATTTCTCCCACAGAGCTGCTGGGTAGATTTGAATCGACCACCTCTTGATTAGCAGCTGGCTAAGCATTTAACTATTGCACCACTAGGGCTGTTTGTATTCTCTGTATGTGTAGAATATATCAACATTATTTTTTCAAATCCTTTTTTTATAATTTATTTTTATACCAACATTTTAGATGTAGTATGTATTAACATTTTCAGCTATCAGTGTTTTTTTTTTTTTTTTTAAATATACAGTGACTGTTTTCTCTTTTTTCCCCCCGGATTCCACAGAGCCAATCTTTTACAGAATCACTTCCGGCAGTCTGAATGGAAAGTTCACTATTCACCCATGGCTGGGCACCATTTGTACCCAGAAGCCTCTGGATCACAAAACGCAGCCTGTGGTTGTGCTCACCGTCCAGACGCAGCTGGCCAGCTCCCCAGGCTGCAGCAGCACAGAAGTCAACATAACTGTCCTCGACATCAATGATAACACCCAGCTTTTCTCGCAGACTCTGACGAGATTAAAATATTTCAGTTCACACCACCTGGCACAGCTTTGTACCTCGCACGAGCAGAAGACAAAGACAGTGGCCTGAATGGATTTATTCAATACTCCATTGCCAGCCAGACCCAAGCATCTTCACCACTGACCAAGGCCTTGGTGTGGTGTTCCTCAATGGGAGTTTGGGAGCGGATGCGCGGCAGAAGCACACGCTGATGCTCATGGCCAAGGACATCGGAGTTCCTCCTCAGGCATCCCTGTTGGTGCTGACAGTAGTTATTGAAAAACAAGAATCAAGTCCACCCTTGACTTTTGAAAATTTGGTCTATCAAGTAGAAATTAGTGAATCCCTCTCACCAACTGCCCAAATACTGCAAATACAGGCCTACTCACTTGGCCCACAGCACACTTCACAGCTCATGTATTTGCTGGAACCCAGTGTAGCCTCTGCTGTGTTTGGCATCAGCCCTTACACAGGTTGGATTTATTTGCGGCAACAGCTCAACTATGAATCCACACAAACATATAATTTTAGAGTATTTGCCTGGATTCCAGAGGACAGATTGTTGCAAAATGTGAGCACCTCAGTAATTGTTCGTGTCCTGGATGAGAATGACAATTCCCCTAACTTCTTGCATGATGTGTTGTTTCTGAAAGTCAAGGACAGTCCTGTTCACCAAGGGGTCATAGGCAAGATTACAGCAGTTGACAGAGACTCTGGGAAGAATGGACAGCTCTCATATTTCCTTTTGTCTGATGAAAAATTCTTCAAGATGAATCCTAATACAGATAGCATTTTGTAGATTCCAATGATTCCTATAAAATTGAGACTGACAAAACTCAAATCTTTCCAGTATAGCATTAGTTAAAAACATATAATTAAAGCTATAATTTATAGTAAATACACGTATTTGATTATAGTATTTTGTGATTTTAAAATGAAGTAAAAATTGAATAGAATTTTACCTATAATGTTTCATATTTCTCTTGCCTTACATCCATATATTGCTGATATATGGTTCGTACTCTGACTCAGAGGTATAGTCAGAATTGGATTGAAGAAATCCTTACATAAAGTCTGAAGTTTTTGACCAGTCATTCTTTTTCATTTGTAGATTTTTTTCAAAATATCACAAACATTTTATGAAATATAAATTTCCTCGTTGTAAAATTTCCTCATTTTGGTAAGGGAAAGGAGAAAAGGGAAAAATTTACAGTGAGTGTTTTTAAAGTTTTAATTAAGAAATTAAATATAAAAATGTTACTATATTTAAAATTTGTTGTTGTTAGGTGCCGTCAGGTCGGTTCCGACTCAGGGAATTTATTTCATTTTTATAACCACTTAAAAATGAAATATAATTTCCTCAACTCAACTATAGTTGAGGAAACTGAGACTTAGATAGCTCAAGGAACTTGCCCAAGGTCTCGGAGCTAGTAGAAGGAAAGAGAAGGCTACCACTCTGTAAAATTCCACCCTTGATTTTTGAAAATTTGGTCAATCAAATTTGGAGACACCATTTATTTTATAGCCTGTGTAAATGGTGCCCCCTGCCCTTTGCTGGGGTCAGAATTTGAATTCAGTTGGGATTGACTTCAAGCCTTTGATCTAAGAGCATCTTTACGTGTAAACTAGAAAAAGGTGCCTCTTCTTTCAGGCAGATGTAGCTTCTCATCAGGTACGTGGCTTGGCAAGAAGAGTACAAACTGGACTTACGCTCCCATTCACTCCTGAAGCCAGGACCCCTCTCCTGTGCAGGACACACACTGCGCACCTGTTCATGATGGCCCTGCTTGTACTTTACTCCCATATGGCTAGTTTTCTAGGTATTCTATTTCAGTTGACTTATTTTCTTGAAAATATACAAACTATAATTGGTTTCTCTATGATCTTCTATCTCCCACAATCAGTCCAGCTCCCAGATTCAGAAGACCAGGCATTATTCCCTTAGTTGTGTGACCTTGAGCAAGTAACTTAACCTCAGAGCTTCAATTTCCTTAGCATGAATAGGAGATAACTCTTGAAATGCTCTGTGTCATGCTCTGAGGGCACCCTTCAATGCACGCGGATGTGTCCATCCTCTACATCCTGGTGCTCTGAGCAGACATCATAGTGATCAGGACTCTTCTTCCCATTGAGCCCTGACTTGGCATCACCCACGCCCTAGCCCCAGGCTAAGCCCCACAGTCCTTTTCACCACTGACCTCTAAATAGCTGCTACTTATCAATCAGTATTTGTTCATCAAATAAAGATCTGTTTGCCATTTAGGACTCAGGGTTTTCAGAGAAGAATTACAGTTTGGAATTTAAATTTGAAAAAAAAGTGTGTGATTTTTGTTAATTAAAAAATGCTATAGTAAACACTGCCATTTAAACTCGCCAATCCAGTAACTTATCCAAATGTGAATTTTCTTATTTGCTCCTTACTTTGGTTTTTGTTTTGTTGTTAGTGGCCATCAAGTCGATTCCGACTCATGGCAACCCCATGTGTGCATAGTAGAATTGTGCTCCATAGGGTTTTCAAGGCTGTGACTTTTCGGAAGCAGATCACCAGGCCTGTCCTCTAAGCGCCTCTGGGTGGGTTCGAACAGCCAACCTTTCGGCTAGTAGTCGAGCACTTACTGGATGTCATTTTATTTGGATTAAGAGACAAAAAAATCTTAGAAATAGGAATGGTAGGTGGTCACTTGAAGGTGGTCACATGATGTCTGTTGTTGTTGCTGTTGGATGTTGTGGAGTCAGTTTTGACTGACAGCGACCCCATACGACAGTAGAACTGCCCTATAGGGTTTTCTTGGCTGTAATCTTTATGGAAGCAGATTGCCAAGTCTTTCTCCCTCCGAGTCACTGGGTGGATTGAGCTGCCAACCTTTCGGTTGGCAGCCAAGTGTTTAACCATTGCACCACTAGGTCTCCTTCACTTCATGAGTGCTTTGATATTTTCATAAGTGTGAGGAAACCAGTGTGCAGCAGAACTCCGCAGCAGGAGATGGGCTACCCAAGGGAGCACATGTCCCCTGACAGCCCTCAGCGGTAGGCAGGGGCAGTTAGGGGCATGTCTGAAACGTGTGAGAAGTTACAGAAGGTGGCACAGTTCTAGGCAAGAATATGTAAAATAAGGCTTGTAAAGCATTTAGAGTTATTTGATAAGTTACTGTCCATTGCTACACATATTTTGTGAGATAAAAAGGATTAACTGTGTAAGTAAAAGACAAACTATTGTCTGAGGAATATCATCTGATTTCCAGAAAGATATTCTGCCATTATTTTAAAGTAATAATAACAACTACTATGTGTGTAATAATTTACAGTTTACAAGATACTTTTAAATTTATGATTGCATTTGTTTCCAATAGCAGCTCCAGGAGGTGGGCTGATAGACATCATTGTCTGAGGTGGAGGTAGAGAGACCCAGCCCCAGACCTTGGGATGTCCGAGTTCATGTGTGTTCTGCTCTTCTGTATAGCAGCATATAGAGGAATCAACATTGATTTTAAGTCTTTCGAATTATTAATAAATTACTACAGAGTATTTTATTATTTGCTTTTATGAATTCACTTTTTAGTTCAAAAAGTTGATGGTAGATAATTTGAAATACAAAGGATGACAATTTTAATATTTTCAGTAGCAACTTCAGAAAATTCTTTCAACAGTAGAACCACGTACTACGCACATGGTCTTGAAAATTGTGCTTTTGCTCAGAGCTTTGTATTTGAACATCCTTTGTGTGAATTATTTTGGATGTGGTTCATAGTGTCAGTATCCTAATTCCCAATGCCAATCTCTATTGTTCTGCTCTGTGTTCCTCAGGTGAACTTATAGGTTGGGTGGCATTGGATTGTGAGCATCAAGCACACCATCAGGCGACTGTCCTAGTGAACCACGGCTCCCCATCACGCAATGCCACGATGGTGGTTTACATCTCCGTTACTGACATCAATGATAACAAGCCGTATTTCCCACAGTGTCTCCCTGGAAAGGAGTTACACGTCAAGGTATGTGAGGTGAAGTAGCCTCGCAGTGAATTTTCAGTATTCTTAGCAGACGTGGAATTATACATTTGTTTTGAGCACCATCTTGTGGTAGAAAGTGAGAATTTATTATATCAGTCAGTGTGGCGATGCGTACATTTCAAGAAGACCTAGAAACTGCACCAAGTGTCAAAAAAGACATTTTTTTAAAGAAAATGGTTGTATATGGTATTTGGAATTGCACATTCAGCTGTCTTATAATAATGTAGTTCTGCCCTTTGTATGCAAACATAATGGAACCGATTATCAGAAATACTCAGACATGAATTGTTTTTCCAATAGTACATGCATCTCTGTCTGTGCAGGCCTCCTTATGAGCAATTGATACACATCTCTAAAATGGTTAGTTAAAGGTAGGGGACAATCTGTAGTTCCAAAGTGGATAGATGTACACCTAGAGATTGTAAAAGTTCATCCTTTTGAGCACGTGCACAGACTTCCAATTATATTATTCTTTTTCTTCTTGTTCTTTTTCACTTCCATGATTTTGTATGTTTTATAATATATATAATAAATTAGCATATTTGTTTATGTACATAATAAATAAATATACCTTGCAGCTACTCCTAATGTTTTTTTCTTTTAATATTTTATTGTACTTCAGGTGAAGGCTTACAGAACAAATAGTTTCTCATGAAACAGTGGTACACATGTTGTTTTATGACATTGGTTAACAACCCGACAACATATTAACCCTCTAAATTCTCAACCTTTTTTTTTTCTTTTTTTTTTTGGTGAAAATACACATAGCCAAAGATACAACGTTTCAAAAATTTCGACATACACAGTTCAGTGACATTGACTACGCTCTTCCAGTTGTGCTGTTACTCTCACTTAAGATGAAGACGTACAGAGCAAAACAGTTTCTCATTTAACAGTTACTACAAATGTTGCCCTGTGACAATGGTTAACAGTCTCACAACACATCAACAATATCCTTACTCAACCTTGTGTTCCTTATCACCAGCTTCCTTGTCCCCTTCTGCCTTCTGGCCCTTGTCACTGGACACCTGTACCTTGTTAGTCTCATTTGGTTTCACAGGGCTGTCCACTCCCAGGCTGAACAGTGAACCTCGGAGGTAACTTCACCACTGAGCTAAAAGGGTGTCTGGGGGCCATACTCTC